GAAAAACGGGGGAAAAAATGGGGAAAAAACGGAGAAAAAACGGGGAAAAAATGACGAAAAACGGGGAAAAAATGGGGATGAAACGGGGGGGAAAATGGGGATAAAATGGGGAAAAAAATGGGAAAAATTGGGGTAAAGATGGGGTGAAATTGGTTAAAAATGGGGGAAAATAAGAAAAATGGGAAAAAACGGTGAAAAAATGACAAAAAACGGTGAAAAAACGACGAAAAAGGGGGAAAAAATGGGGGAAAAATGGTCATGAAATGGGGGGAAAATGGGTTAAAAATGGTGAAGAAATTGGGGTAAAATTGGTTAAAAATGGGAGAAAATAAGAAAAATGGGAAAAAACGGTGAAAAAACGGCGAAAAACGGTGAAAAAATGGGGAATAAATGGGGAAAAACGGGGAAAAAATGGGGAATAAATGGGGATAAAGTGGTGAAAAAAAATGGGAAAAATTGGGGAAAAGATGGGGTGAAATTGGTTAAAAATGGGGGCTGATTTCGGGCAGATTTCAGGTGAATTTTGGGTGAATTTCGGGCGATTTGGGGCAGATTTTGGGTTGATTTTGGGCTTATTTTGGGCTGATTTCAGGCGGATTTGGGGCTGATTTTGGGCTGATTTTGGGCAGATTTCGGACTCATTTGGGGCAGATTTTGGGCTCATTTTTGGCTGATTTGGGGCAGATTTGGGGCTGATTTTGGGTCGATTTGGGGCAGATTTGGGGCTGATTTTGGACTCATTTTGGGCTGATTTCGGGCCGATTTGGGGCTCATTTTGGGCTGATTTGGGGCAGATTTTTGGTGGATTTTGGGCAGATTTTGGGCTCATTTCGGACTCATTATGGGTCGATTTTGGGTGGATTTTGGGCTCATTTCGGGCTCATTTTGGGCCGATTTGGGCCGATTTTGGGCAGATTTTGGGCAGATTTTGGGCTCATTTCGGGCTCATTTTGGGCAGATTTTGGGTGGATTTTGGGCTCATTTCAGACTCATTTTGGGCTGATTTCGGGCAGATTTTGGGCTGATTTTGGGCAGATTTGGGGCTCATTTTGGGCTCATTTCAGCCTCATTTTGGGCTGATTTGGGGCAGATTTCGGACTCATTTCAGACTCATTTTGGGCCGATTTTGGTCTGATTTGGGGCAGATTTCAGACTCATTTTGGGCTGATTTTGGGCAGATTTTGGGCTGATTTCGGGCAGATTTGGGGCTCATTTCGGGCAGATTTCGGGCAGATTTCGGGCAGATTTGGGGCTCATTTTGGGCTCATTTTGGGCCGATTTGGGCCCATTTTGGGTCACTCACCGCAGGCCACGGGCACCAGGCGGGGGGGCACGTAGCGCCGCCCCCCCCCCAGCCCCGGCGCTTTGGCTCCGCCCCCTCGGCCTTCCTCCTCCTCCTCCTCCTCCTCCTGCGGGACACGCCCACTCAGGCCACGCCCACCGCCCAAACCACGTCCACATCCAATTAAACCCCGCCCCTTTCTTCTCAAGCCACGCCCACCCCGTTAAACCCCGCCCCTTTCCCCTTAAGGCACGCCCACCGCGTTAAACCCCGCCCCTTTCTCCTCAAGCCACGCCCACCTCCTGTTAAACCCCGCCCCTTTCCCCTTAAACCACGCCCACCCCGTTAAACCCCGCCCCTTTCCCCTTAAACCACGCCCACCCAGTTAAACCCCGCCCATTTCTCCTCAAGCCACGCCCACCCCATGTTAAACCCCGCCCCCTTCTCCTTAAACCACGCCCACCCCGTTAAACCCCGCCCCTTTCCCCTTAAGGCACGCCCACCCCGTTAAACCCCGCCCCTTTCTCCTTAAGCCACGCCCACCTCATGTTAAACCCCGCCCCTTTCTCCTCAAGCCACGCCCACCTCATGTTAAACCCCGCCCCTTTCTCCTTAAGCCACGCCCACCTCATGTTAAACCCGCCCCTTTCCATTAAGCCACGCCCACTCATTTAAACCCCGCCCCTTTCCCTTAAGCCACGCCCACTCATTTAAACCCCGCCCCCTTTCCCCCGAAGCCACGCTCACTCACTTAAACCCCGCCCCTTTCACCTTAAGCCACGCCCACCCCGTCTAAACCCCGCCCCTTTTCTCCTCAAGCCACGCCCACTTCCTGTTAACCCCGCCCCTTTCTCCTTAAACCATGCCCAACTCATGTTAAACCCCGCCCCTTTTCCCTTAAGCCACGCCTACATCTCCATTTAAACCCCGCCCCTTTCTCCTTAAGCCACGCCCCTTTCCTCCCCAAGCCCCGCCCCTTTAACCCCTTAATAGCCGCCATTTAACCCTTAAGCCCCGCCCAATTTGCCCTTAAGCCCCGCCCACTTCTCCCCTTAAGCCCCACCCATTTTGGCCTGATTTGCATATTGATTTCAGCTGGTTTTGGTCAATTTTGGTCGTTTTGGGGCGATTTTGGGGGATTTGGGGTGAATTATGGGGGATTTTGGTTAATTTTTGGTGAATTTTGGGTAAATTTTGGGTGAGTTTGGGGAGAATTTTGGGTGAAATTTCAAGGACTTTTGAATTAATTTCGGGTGAAATTTGATGGAATTTGGAATTAATTTTGGGTGCATTTGGGGCGAATTTTGCTGGAATTTTGGATTAATTTTGGGTGAATTTCGGGTTAATTTTGGGTTAATTTCGGGTGAATTTTGATGGAATTTTGGATGAATTGTGGGTGGATTTTGGGTCAATTTCAGGTGAATTTTGGGTGAATTTTGGGTGAATTTTGGGTGAATTTTGGGTCAATTTCGGGTGAATTTTGATGTAATTTTGGGTGAATTTGGAGAGAATTTTGATGGAATTTGGAGTGAATTTTGGATGAATTTAGGGTGACTTTTGGGTCAATTTTGGGTCAATTTCATGTGAATTTTGAGACAATTTCGGGTGAATTTTGGGTTAATTTTGGGTGAATTTTGATGTAATTTTGGGTCAATTTTGGGTGAATTTCGGGTGAATTTTGGGTCAATTTCAGGTGAATTTTGATGGAATTTTGGATGAATTTTGGGTGAATTTTGGGTGAATTTTGGGTCAATTTCAGGTGAATTTTGATGTAATTTTGGTTGAATTTTGGGTGAATTTTGGGTGAATTTTGGGTCAATTTTGATGGAATTTGGGGTGAATTTTGATGGAATTTGGGGTGAATTTTGATGGAATTTTGGGTGAATTTTGATAGAATTTTGGGTGAATTTCGGGTGAATTTTGGGTCAATTTCAGGTGAATTTTGATGTAATTTTGGATTAATTTTGGGTCCATTTTGGGTTAATTTCGGGTGAATTTTGATGGAATTTCGGGTGAATTTGCCCACTCCCCCTTAAGCCCCGCCCCTTTTCCTTAAGCCCCGCCCCTTCCCCTTAAGCCCCGCCCTTCCCTTAAGCCCCGCCCCTTCCCCTTAAGCCACGCCCCCTCCCCTTAAGCCCCGCCCCTTCCCCTCAAGCCCCGCCCACAT